TTCATTCTGGGTGCAAACGAAACTGTTTAATAAACTTTGACCATTAAGGTACCGTATCTTCCTTTGATCACTAACACAGGCCACTGTGTTTTTCATAGATCAGTTGTTTGGACAGTGTGGGAGTGTTCTGAGGTCTGCATTAGCAGGATATTTACACTTGAAAACATACTGATGATCCAAACCAAGGACTAACATCTTTGATCAACCATAAACTGCCTTCCCTAGTCCTGACCTGACACCTCTCTGGGTGAGAACATGGAAGTTTCAAGAACGAAACTCTTTAAATAATGAGCTGTTTTCAGGGACAAACTCATTTCTCCCCTTCCCTTGTAAAGGTCTCACTTACATGGCAATCCACTCCTAAGTGGTATCAGAAATCACAGAGGGCTTTGCTGGTTCTTCCACAAAATCAGTGCTACGCTTTAGAATCAAGCCCAGCTTCAGGGCTTAGCTGTGCACTGGCTCTTGCCTGTGTAGCTCTTGCCTGATGAAACTAAACAGTCTGTCAGATACAGCCAAGGTGGGATAAGCACCTGGAAACTGATACCACTTGTCCTCCTAAACTGGTGCTTTGGCAAACACCCCTGTTTTCTGCATATTTCAAAGGAGGAAAAAAAAAAGAGAGAGAGAAGAAAAAAATCCCACCCTAGTGTTCAAACAGCCTAGTCTCTTAAAACTCTGGGGGGTCAGAAGCTGAAGGGCAGCAACATCCGGCAGATGTATCATCTGTTCCCTCTCCCAGTGTCAGCCCCTACAACCCACAGCCTGTTTCCAAACCCAGAGTCATCCCCCTCAGAGCAAACCAGATGTCACCTCAGCCCTATTTGGTGAAGCCTCTTCTCCACACAATCCAAAATGCACACAACTGATGGCTGGCCACAAGCTTGACCCATCCTGAGGATTTCATTAATCTCTTCGCATCATCCCACTGACAACTCCAGCAGCTTGTGTTATGACAAAGTGTGGCCGTTAACTGCGGTTTGGTTAGAAAACAAAAGCCTAGTTTCTAGGCACTATTTTTCTTACCTTACAAAAGCATGGAAGGAATGGCGAGATGAAAATATTACTGACACAAGTGAGTCAGTATTAAAAATGTTTTCTTTTTTAAGAGAGAATGTACTTAGACCACACTGTCTTCAATGTGAGTTTTACTGCCTGGAGTCCTCACAAGTATTTTTTTCTTATTTCTGATGGCTTTGAATGAGGAGAGGGTCAAATTTCTACCCAGAGGTTTTGTGCTATTTCAATCATCATTGATCTCTGATTGTTCATGTTCTCTATGCTTACATGCCTGTCTAGGAGACAGTCTCGAATGGGCCCATGGTCCTTGTTTTCAGCTTTCTCTACAGTGGCAAAAATCAGTTTGATAATTCAGTAACTGGTAGAAATTTTAGCCTCAGGCTTGGTTCTGTTTTTAGCCATCAGGGAACAGCCAGCAGTGCCTTGCAATTCCGTGCAACAGCTCACATCTGGGCTGGAGTCACACGCTCATGCTTTTACTGTCCAGATGAGCTTTTTTTTCCCCTTTGCTCAAGTAATACTGAATTGAGCCACTTCATTACACTTAATTGGAGCCAAGGGATACTTCTAGGCTCTGAGCTTTGGTGAAGATTTGTATTTACTAAAGCTTTCTCTTATCTCCTGCCCTGCCAAACTTGTTTCTTTGAGAGAAGTGGGCAGGTTTCCTTTTTATATATATATTTTCCCCCAGAGATGCTTGCTGCCTTTCTCCTGTAGACTGCTGGTTTAAATCCATACATGCCAGTTGCCCACTTAAAAATTATTTGCACCCAAAAGTATTTTAGTAGCTACCAATAACCGCCTCAGACAACTGTTGACCTCATAAGAGCCAAGATTAACATGGTGTCTTTGAACTTTCTCTGAATACTGCAGATGTTGACTGAACAGGCACCTTCTGCAGCCTTTAGAGATGAATTTTCCTGACCAGAAGGAATATTTGTCAGCAGAAAAAGATGAAAAACGGTGCTACATCAACTCTTCTGTCTCACCTGCCATTTCACCAGCTAGACTTCAAGATCTGTACAGACTCTTCCTTATGCAATATAATGTCATAAAATGTCAGGAAATATGAGGCTGTTATTCAAAACCATTAGTCCAAAGGAAGCATGACACAAGTTTTTTAGTAGGCTTTTTTTAAGTCAAAGGCAGCTGTTATTTTCTGGCTTATAAGATGTCTGCTAAAATTCAACGGAAGATTTACAAATATTTAGCAAGTTCCTTCAAAAGCCAGTGCACTCTTTTCCTTATAATTTAACCTTCCAGTGTTCTGAACAGCAAAAGAAAACATTGCATTCCAAATTAATCCACTGAGGCAAAAGGGGGAGAAAAAAGCATTTTGGACTTTCTTCCCCCCCAAATAAAAGCAAGTAAGTGAATTGATGATCAAAACCCAAAATTGCTCAAAGAATAGAGTTCCTTAAGGCACGCCAGAAGAATCTGAGGTATTTTTCCTCTTCATGCAGAGATATTCGTGAACAGCTAAATACCACTTTTTAGCATTTGTTTTCAAGAATGTTTACAGGCCCAAGTCCACCCAGGTCAGCAATGAGAGTGAACATTTGAATCCATAGCAGCCGTAGCCTATGGAGTCAGACCTCAACTGACTATAACACTGAGTAATAAGCAGCTTCTGCTATCTTATTTTAACAGTCTTTTAACATCTGCATATATTTAACACAGAAGGGGTCATTTATATGCATATATATATGCATATATATATATATATGTATTCATATATATACAGAGAATACAAACCTATGTATGTACTTATACAGAAGCACACACGTTTTCGTATGTGCTTTTATATTTTACCAGTAAATGAAAGAGTCCTTTAAGCTGAAAGGAAAAAAGGGTAGAAAAGGGCATGTCCTTTTTACAGCTGCAAAACTCTTTGAGCCATATCTTGCCCACCTCTGTGCAGATGATGTGACAATTCCCACAGACTCATCTGAAGCACAAGTTGCTTTAGCCAAACATCTCCCTCCCTCCCCTCAGTAAAAATAAATAAATAAAGCAGAAAAAGAAACAAAAAGGAAGCCTTGAGGGACTGGATGAGTCAGAGGTTAGTAATGAACTCCAGACACTCATCCCTGGGTCAGTGGTTCACGCCTAGCCCATGTCAGGAGGGACAGTGAATTGCTGGCAGTCTGGATCTGGAGGAAGCCACTTTATGATTCCCAGTCCCAACAGTGGGATCCCCTCAGCATGGCCGCCAGCAACGGCAGAAGGAACATGATGAAAGGGAATTGGAAGACCCAAACTACTTGCCAGCTTTGGACAGAGACCACCCTGGTGATCCCCACCCAAGCTGCTGCCTCTGCTCTGTCCATAGGGAAGTCTCTAGCACCCAGTGATGCCCAGCACATGCAGATGCCAAAGTGCCCAGTGCCAAAGGACACACATCTCAGCTTCATAGCGCAATCTGATTTTGGCATGCTTCTGGTATGGGATGCGAAACAAAGACACAAGGCTCCAGCATCACTGCTGCACACAGGCACTTTGAGAACAGAGTTTGTAAACTTGTTAGAAACAGGGTATATTAGGGGCTGTATCCTGTACTTTATTCTCTTTCCTGCAATGCCTTATTTGCTTGCTCAGTTCACTCTGAAAAAAATGTTATATAAACATAGGAGTTGACAGTTCTCCTACTCTGTGCCCTGCTTTGGTGACCGTCACAAAGCAGAGTATTAATTGCTTCCATAGACACATGGCAGAGGTTTTCCTTTAGCTCCAGAGGTGGGATCTCTGCTTGTGCAATCTAAAGCAGACCAACGCTTGCCATTTTTTATTCAATGTGGCTCTAAATGAACAATACAGCTAACATCTATGAAATCTGCATGACCATCTGGAGTTCCATCAGCTCTTGATGTAACAAGTGGGCATTGATGTTAACATCCTAAGCAGCAAGCACGTTACCCCTGGAGGCACTCCAGAAATCTCCAACTCAAAGCACAAAGGGAAGCACATCACCTTGATCTTTTGTGAGGGAAACTCACACCTTGTTCCCCATCACCTATTCACCCAAGTATTTCTCTCCAGTTCCCCAGAGGCCACACTCCCCACAGAACAACCACAAGCTATTTAATGTTGCCTTCACAACTGCCAATCATCAAAGGCACATTGTACCCCAAATGGTACCAATGGAAAGGCTGGAGAAAGAAGGAGCAGAAAGGAAAACACCCATGAAACCTTCACAGAGGAAACAAATGGAGCTATTTTTTAGGCACTGCTGATTTCTTTTTTTTTTTTTTTTCAATGCCTGCAGCAGAGGAACAGTTACAGTCCTAACAAGTAATGAAACACTTTTGTACCACAGCATTAATCTGACATTTAATTGACCATATATTTCCATCTTTTAGCCTTACATGATTCATCCATCTGAAACATTACAGGTTTTAAATTAATCACTCCATTTACACTTTTTTGGATTTTTTGTGTCACAGTTTCTACTATGCCTCTCTCACTTTTGGTTCTCTCAGTGCCACTGAAAGTCACAGAGTGATTTTGTACCTGCATATACAAAATGTATGCTGAATTTTCTTCTGCTTTATTTATTTTAATTTAAGCTCAGCTGAGAGCAGGTGAAGTCTGAACTAATTACCAGTATTTTTAAAACAGGCTATGCTTTTTGTGCTGGTAAGACTAAGTTGAAAGGGAGTATGTATAGTTCGGTACACAAGAGTAATGCCAACATCGGTTTAAAAATCTACTGCTTCTCATCAGATTCTTTCTCTATTTAAAGACAACACAAAGGCTGCAGCTAAGTCACACCCTGGGCTATAATACTGTGAACTTTCTCTGGCTGGAATCCATTTGCACTCTACCATGTCCATTTCCCATAAGGAAAGGACCATTCAATAACATAACCCTGTTAACATGAACAAACCTGATATTTATTTTCAGTCCTCTCAACATTAATGCAAAGCTCAGTCTTCTCCAGGACAGCAGCTGGTGGCACAGAGCAAGACCCTCCTGCATACCTGTTCTGATGTTCCTGAAGCACTTGGTAGATGCTGATAAGGAAGGTTTGGTTTTTAAAGCTTCCCACAACGCAGTCCTTGTAGATCCGAAACTCAGCGGCTGTGACGGCCTCGCCCTCAGGAATCTGAGACAAATTAAATTTGAATTCCTTGTGGTGCCTCTGGTGAGGTGTGAACTCCTTGTCATACTCAACTGCAGATGGGAAAAGGAAAGGAAAAAAAGAACCATGACTAAAATTTAACAACAAAAGGTTTCCACATGCTGCCACCAAGAATCTTTTTTTTTTTTTTCTCCAAAGATAGCCTTGGCAGGTGCTAGGAAAGCTTATGCAATCAAAGCCTTAAAAATACAGTACTAAGAGAAGATGAATGTTCCTCTTCTCTAGCCAATTCCTTTGGGAATTTCTATTTTTTAGAGAAAAGACAGCTTTGACAGGTAAAATATGACTGTGAATTTTGCCCCTGTGTAAAACTGAAGCTGTGACCACCCCCAGCATTTTCCACCTGTGGATCTCCACATTCTTTACAGCATTTCCATAAGTCTCTCAGCCCTCTTCCAACAGAGGAGACAAGTATGTGCTATTTGGCTTTAGCACATACAGGTACAGATTAAGCTATAGCACCAGGTCAACTAATACCTTAACTGCCCTAAAATGTGCTGTTTTCTGGTTTCCTGAAAAGCCAGAAATAACCATTGGACCACCTTGTGGGAGAATACGAGCAACACGATATTTTTTTTAAGGGTTAAAGTTAACCAGAGCTCCCCTTCCTTTTGAAGAAGCTTATTTGAGAATGAGAGAGCTGAGGAGTGACCCCTTTTGGTTTCTGGTCTTAGACTTCCTCAGGTACATTCTCAGGTATAGGACTTAAGACGGACATAAAACAGAACTCCTTATTTAGGCCTCAGAATTTGTGTTTTCTCTTTTTGAGGTTCCCTTTAAAAACTCTGCTTCTAGTCCCACTCTCGTATTACTTGATTACATCTTGGTTAGTCTGACTTTGATTAATTGTTTGTTATTTTTTCTAATTTTCTTAGAAATTGCTTAAAACATTAGCATACTATAAAAACATACAAAATTGCATCCAAAAAACTGTTCCCAGCAGTGCAATTGAAGGAGTATATGTCAGTGATGAATAACTCACCATTATATTATCAATAGGAACATGAGTACATTCAGGGGCAGCAAGGGAAGAAGAGATCCCTTTTCATGTTTGTCTTTGTGGTCACTTTTTGTCGTTCCCCCCCAACTTAATACATCAAACCGCAAAGGCATCCATGAGCCTACCCTCACAACGTCCCCATGAGGTAAGCAGCAATCCCTGTTTTACAGCTGGGATACTGAGTCATCAGGAGGGTGACTTGTCCAAGGGCAGGTGGCAGAGGCTTGCAGTGGAGCCAGGAATGACAGCCAACGTGCTTGAGGTTCATCACTTTACCCACAGGTTACCTCCCTGGAGAGCAGACATCTCCCAGCTGCTGGAAAGAGCCTGTGGAGACTTTCCTCTCTACCTTTCCCAAGTGCCTGTCCCTCCTCATCCCTCAGTCCCAGTTTCATATGTCCTCTCCCTTTATTTTGGCAGCCCTTTCATGTGAGCTGCCTCATCTGGCTGGGTCCACATCCTGACTCCCTGCAAGACAGTTAGTCACATCCTTCTCTTTGAAGCTTGCCTGGAAATCTTTTCACCTCTGCATGACTGCTGCCGAGCATTCTGTGGGACACCACACTTGGAGATGGTGAGTTAAGGGCTGCCACAAGGCAAACAGGCAAATCCTCAAACTGCTGCCAGAGTCAGATGCCTCTGCCAATTTTGTCAGTCTTGCACTGCATCTGTCTGAGCAGCTTAGATGCCAAACAACTCACAAACGCATGTGATTGGACCCTGTAGCTTCCAGAAATGAGGTGGTGACACCCAGCATCTCGTCAGAGATTGCACCAAGGCAAATGATGGCACCACTCAATTCCAGTGCCACCTAGGAATTATCCCTCTTCCTATCAGTTATGAGGTATCTGGGCTTCCCTTTGTAAGTACCTGCCCCTGCTTTTAATGGGGAACAACTCTGGCAACACCGGACTGGTTGTCGTCACTTGCATCTACATCGTCCAAGAAGGGGCCTGAGCTGCCCGGTGACTCCCCATCCTGAGGAGAGTCCCACGGGGTGCACCTCCCAAAAGAGAGTAGACACGTACTTTGAGAAACTTGCAGAGCATCCAATCAACGAGACAGTGCGTTTGGCTGCTTGCAGCAGGATGACATGCCCAACTTGGCCTGTTTACTTGCTGCTAAAAGACGAGAGGATGTAATTAATGGTGAGGGAATGTCTAAATCCACGGGTTTGCAGAGGCACACATATGAAGCAACAGTTCTCAATTTAGAACTTGCTACATCCTCGCTCACGGGTGCAATGACCAGCTGAAACCCACGTCCCCTCCCATGCTGTCACGGGGGTGAGTTGACCTGCAGGCGAGGTGCAGCGAGGCAGCTTTTCCCCAGGCTCGCAGATGAGGATGATAAAGGAGAAGCAGGAAGAGCAAGGGGAAGGACACAACCAGGGTAAGCAACAGAACTCCATCAGGGTGCCAGAAAACTAAAATTACACCAGAGACAGCAAAGGAATAGTCGATGCTTCCTGTCAGCTATTGCCCCACATCAAGATGTGATGTGGCCTCTCCAAGTGCACAAGGGGGAGCCTAGAGCCGTCCCACACAGCACAGGGCTCAAAATGAGCCCAAACATCACTGGTTTTGTGTTCCTTTCTCACCTCAAGTCAGCTCCAGTGACCTAACCTCCACTCATCTCCACTACAAAATATACAGCTTAAAAGTGACAGAACTGAACTCTAGTCCTTTAAATCAGTATTTTTCCCATACTCCTCGTCTAAAAAGTCAAACACAAGCCACAGAGGAAGAAAACTCCACCAAAACATCTACCACAGAGTATGACAAGTAGCAGCAGGTATGATGCTTGACTCCAATTGCCCTTTCCCGGTTTATAACTTGCCTGATATATTTACAATAGTATTTTCCTGTTTTTTAAAACTTTCTTCCTTTATCCCTGCCCTTGTCCGAATATGCCACACAATCACAGAAGCTGACTAAACTGATTACAGGGGAAACATTCTGACTGATTTCGTTATCAGGCTTGGCAGAATAAACAACCTGAAATGCACAAACAAGGAAACCTTTTTTTAATCCTTCAGATTAAGCAATTCAGCTTTTTCTGTAATAAGAAAGGCACATTCAGCAAGAAATACTGTTAAACTGCTGGTGTCCTCCTCCACTGTGATCCATTCAGAAGCAGCCCAACAACATCGTAGGATGGAAAAAAGACTACATTAAGCATGTATGAAGCAAGTATAAAAGTTTAATGAGTTGGAAAGTTTGTCTGGCTATGTATCTTCCCATGATACAATGGAGGGTGGGTTATTTTTTCTTTGTGGGAGTGGTGAGATATTTAAGTTCTATATACTCATTGTCACCCCATCAAGTTAATAATCAACTGTTTTTCATTCAGCAAGACAGCTTAAAAATATAAAATGCCAACAGTTCTTCTCTGGGAGTTCTTTTGCTCCCTGGAAACTGTTCATTTTTAACAAAGAAGTCAAGTTTTAGAACAGTAAAATTTGGAAAGGCAAGATTCAGGGTGCTGGTTCCCAGGATTACCCACTCTGTATTGCTATCGTGTTACAATGCATCATATGACCTCGCATTCAAGATGCAGACAGAATACACCAAAATGCAAGGCAACAGCAAAAAGCAGAAATCGTTTCTCAAGCTGATTTCCAATTATTATTTTTTCCACACGATTTCTTTCAGGTCAATCTGACCGGTGACATGTGAAATCCAAAGCTAATTTCCGTTTGAAGGTGGACATGTGCATGTTCCAACTGCGCAAAGCTCTTTCAGAGAGAGAGAATCAGGCCGCTCACAGCTGGGTCAGGTTGGAAGGAAGCAGCCCCTCCCCACAGGGCTGGCCAGAACATCAGGACCAAGCCAGGCAAAACTAGGGTTTGCAGGGTCATGACACGAACTATAGCCGTATAAAACTCACGTTCATGATTTGACTACATTATCCTGAGCATTACTATTCATTTGCTAGAATAAGTCCTTGGAGACTACAAATCCAGGTATGCACATATCAGGGGGAGTTCGGAAAGGAAATATCAAACAGATTTTAGCCCATCATGGGTATATGTGCTTTGAGCCAAAGGGACTGCCCACTCCCCCATGCAGGTCTCTGCCCTCGTGGGTGTGAGCTGTGGACACCAGGAGTACTCACCCCTGAGTTTTCATTACAGCTTATTTCTGAGCAGAGCAGCTGACTGTGCAGAAACAGTTAACAGAAAAGCCTGCCAGTAGCTCTTTACATTCCCCTTAACAAATATTTTTAAATACTGTACAAACACAGCACTATTGTTGAGCAGTTAAAAAGGCAAGAATGGCAAAATTAGGGTTACTGTGGTTTTTAATTTTGTGTATTCTAATTCTAACCCAGTGTTGCAATAGCCAATTTCAGCACAAAATGTCCTTGGTTTAAAAATAACATGCTGCTTACAATGCTTGTTACTTTAAAAACACTGCACAGAAAAAAATTAATTAGGAAATTAACACATCTATTTTGGTAACTATACCATCCTACTTCCATTTGACTGTGTTGCACAAACCTTGGACCAAAGGAAATGTAAGCCTAATGACAGTCATGGAAAGAAACGCTTCTTCTGCATAGGAATTTTCAGCATTTCTTTTAGTATCTAAAGTAAACTGGTATGCAGAAATAACAGGTCAACAGCCTTTCCTGAGGAAACACAATTTTCACTCAGAACGACAGCACCAAGTGTCATGATACTTGGTGATTTTCTCCCATTCTCAGTTGTCAAGAAAAGTGTTAAGTCTGGTGCTCACATGAGAGTCAAAATGGTGGCTGAAGAAAGTTTCTAGCTCATAGTCTGGGTAATAAAGCCAAAAATACTAACATGTGGGCTCATAACCTGCAGTTTCAGAAGTAATTTTTTAAAATAAATTTTTAAAATAAATAATTATGATTTCCGTGATAACCTGGCTCCTTGGAGGGCACAGAGAAGAAGTAGGGTTGCAAATAATTGAGATATGAGTATTTAGAATGGATACATTCTGTATCCATCCTGACCCTAGCACAGGTGAAACTTCTGAAAAATCTTTTATATGCCAAGATCTT